GGTATAGAGAGCACATGACAACGCGACCTGGGAAGTGCAAGCTTTTCATCTACAAATTCCAGGTAGATACCGACCGCCCAATAGTAGGTCATTCGAGGCCAATTCCGTTTGCCCTCCGACCAGCTGTTAGAGAACAAATCCGGCAGATGCTAGTCGACGACATTATTGAGCATAGCAATTCCCCGATTCTCAACCCATTAACCGTGGTAAGTAAAGAAGGAGGAGACATACGCATATGTGTTGATGCCCGGAGGGTGAATGAAGTCACCATCCCAGATCATGAGAGGACCCCTCCCATGAATGAGCTCTTACAAAGATTCCATGGGGCAAAATATTTCACGTCCCTTGACCTGAGTTCAGCTTATTTACAGATAGAGCTACACGAAGACTCTAGAAAATACACGGCTTTCATGTCCGAATCCACCGTGTATCAGTACAAAAGAGTTCCATATGGGTTCAGAAATTCATTACCCGCATTCGTACGTGCCATAAAGGTAACGCTGGGAACGGATCTGGAGAACGTGGTATCCTACGTTGACGACATTCTGATACATTCCCCTACCATGAAAGATCACCTAAGACATCTTGATACCGTACTCGGTAAATTAACGAAGGCAGGCTTCACGATCAACGCCAAAAAGTGTCGCTTCTGCAAAGACGAGGTTAGGTTTTTGGGACACCGTATAGATAGGACCGGTGTATCCGCTGACCCGGATAGGGTACAGTCCATCCTCAACTATCCAGCACCGAGAAACAGTAAACAGCTGAGGCAGTTTCTCGGAACCTGTAATTTTCATAGCAGATTCATCATAGGCTATGCAAATTACGTCGCACCGCTAACGCCGCTATTGAGGCTAGGTGTGAAGTGGTCGTGGACAGATGAAGCACAGGATGCATTCCTGCGCCTGCGGCAGAGTTTTGCGCGCAGCATTCACCTGGTCCATCCACGTGATGACGCCCCGTATGCAATTTACACTGACGCCAGCAAGCTGGGGATAAGTTCAATACTAACCCAGGAAAGCGACTACGGTGAGACGTTGGTAGTGTCCACCGCATCCAGAGTGTTGAGCCCCGTAGAACGGAGGTACTCCACCTGTGAACAGGAGCTGCTTGCTGTAGTCTATGCGCTTCAGAAGTTCAGAATATATGTGATAGGTCATCCCATCACTGTATATTCCGATAACAAAGCATTATCGTTTCTGAAGAGGTGTAATTTGACATCTAGTCGAGTCACACGCTGGGTAATGCAGCTGCAGGAGTACGATTTGAAGATTGTACACATTAAAGGCAGCGATAACTTCTTTGCAGACATGCTGAGCCGCAACCCCATTGGGTTAAGCCAAGAGAGCCGCGACCAAGTGTTGAAGCCGAAAGAGTTATTCGTGGCAAGGGTAGACCTGGGAACTGACAGAACACTCATGAAAGAATTAGGCAATCTGTCAGAACACCAACTCGGTGATCCCGCTTTAAATAAAATACGGGAAGAACTGGAGAGCGACCCAGAGAAATTTTCGGGCAGGTACATGGTAAGAGACAGGATCCTGTTCTGCAAAAATGACAGGAGCCATCCCTATTGGAGAATTATGTTACCCAGACAGCTAGAAGACCGAGTGATTCGGTATGTACATACGCTATTGGGACATCAAGGTACCGATAAGTGTATGTTGCAAATAGCACACACTTTCCACCTAAAGTCATTAGGAAGAAAGGTGCGGAAGTTCGTGGCACACTGCGACATCTGTCAACGTGTGAAACATCCCAATAGGTCCTATGAGATTGAAAGAGTATCTCATCTCCCCACCAGGCCAGGAGAGCTATTAACGATAGACCTCTATGGACCTCTACCTACAGGTCGTGGTGGAGTGAAATACCTGTTGGTATGTCTGGAATTCTTCTCCAAACATGTAACTCTATACCCACTAAAGGCAGCCACAACTAGGAGCTGTTTAAGGAAGCTCAGGGAGCACTATTTCCAAAGTGTTATCAAACCTGAGACCATTTTGTCTGACCACGGATCGCAATTTGCGAGTCCTGCATGGCGGAAAGCACTGACCGATTTGGGCATTCAGTGTAGATACTCTCCTATTCGACACCCGGAAAGTAATCCGACAGAGCGGATTATGCGCGAACTTGGAAAATACTTTCGAATCTACTGCCACGAGACGCACAAAAAATGGCCAGAACTCGTGCCATATATAGAGAACTGGTTGAATTCTTCTGTTAGCCAGTCTACAGGTTATACTCCTGTAGAACTGCTCGATGGAAATCCGAGGCCGGATATCTTCCGAAAGATACTGAAAAAGAGTGCAGACCAGTTACCCCGGGAAGATGTCTTATCTGACAAAATTCTAAAAGCCTATGCTCAGATGAAACTAAAAGCAGATCAGCGAAACAAACGACGGAAAACTGGCAAGACTAAGTGGCAGCCTAGTCTTCAGGCGCTAGTGCTAGTAAAGTGCCAACCTGTATCGGATGCAGTGCAAGGCCTTACTTCTAAATTTCAAAGACCGTTCGAGGGACCATTCGTGGTTCATCGAAGAGTAAACCCCTCCATCTTCGAACTGGCAGATTCAAAAGGCAGGATTAGAGGACTCTTCAACCTAAAACATCTGAAACCCTACCTCGAGGAAAACCTCGAATCCTAGACCCCACAGACAGGACTGAAAGTGGATCCTCGAAAAAAGAGAGAAAAAAAGTGGAAAAGTCGTTGAAATTTCGAAATTTTTAAATGATATCTACTACTATAGAGAAATTTCAAACGAAGTGCATGGGTGGATTGCAGCCTACCAACCCTTTCAGAAATTTTAATCCACGAAGGGCACTAATTGATTCCAAGGAGGGTAACCCAACAAGAGAGACAGAGAGCGATTGTAGGAGAAACTGGTAGCAAAGAGACCATTGTGCAGTAAGAGAGAGAGATATTTCATTGTTTACATTAGGTTTAAAGAGCCAGTCACACACGAATTCAGGAGGGTCAGTCACTGAAGGAAAGTGAGAGAGGACAATGTCTGAGAGAGACAGAGAGAATTTGATGTTACAAGTGAAGTGCAGTGTTGGTGAACCATAAACCCCCCCCCCCTCCGGAAAAAGTGAAATTTTCTTGACGCAAGTGAATGGTCAGAGAATGAAGGACACGGAGAGACAGAGAAAAAATGTCATGTGACAGTTCAATTTTGTAAGTGTTGTTATAGTCCATAAGTAAGAAACTAGAATAAGGTTTAGCAAGGAAAGGAACAGGATGAGGGCGAGTGTTAAAACCCTCAAACCTTGATAATTGGTGTATGTATTGATGGAATTGAGTGGTGAGGAATGAGCGGCAACCAAACGAGATTTGGGTCCGAAATCGATTCTCGATTCAGACCAACCCTCGCTTGGGGAGTGTAACCGAACCATTGAAAT